TGTAGGTGTCTTGTCTTAGCCTCGCCACTACCTCGTCGAGGTTAGGCTCGACACTTACCAGTACATAGGGTTGGTTGTACTGATACTGCACTCTGTACTTTCTGTACAGATTTTGGTACCGACTCGGGTTGATCGAGATTTTAGCTGTTGGACCCGCTATCCGGAGACTCAAGATAGATACGTCAGCGTTCACATACCTTGAAGTCCCCGTCTATCTTTTCTGTTTTGTTGTTTCTTTCATTCAAACAGTTGTATTTCTCTCAGATTATTACTTGTAGTGAATTCTAGAATGCTCGTGAATTGTGACTCCAGATCCTGGTGGTAGTAATTAATGCAGTTTTAATATTATTCTGCACTCGTTATATTTCATCTTAGCTTATTTGCTGTTATTACTGAATGGAATAAGGATTGGTTTAATGATTCTCTAACGTTGGCTTGCCTAGCAAGTGAAATGTTAGGCGTCATCACGGTCCAGACGATGGAAATTTCGTATCTTGACATTCTAGTAGTGGTGTATTATTTTACAAAATAAGTGCACCATTCTTTCTTTCATTGGTTGCACTCAGAAGCCACCCCACACTTAGTCCCTTCTTACTTCTTTAAGCGCTCATTTTACAATTAAAGTGCTTTGTGAGGTAAAAGGATCAAAACAAGATTAATTTAGAACAAAAAGGGTATAAGCTTGTAATGTGGGTGCCAAATAAAAGTTTATAGGCTCAAAAAGTGTTAACTTAGGATAAATTTTATTTGTGATAAGCATTTGAATTCAAAAGGATCAAATAAAGCCTAAAATCATTTTTCAAACCGAGCATCACCTAAAATATTGCCTTAACTCACATACCGGGCAAGGTTTAAACATAAGTACAATACATAGACTATATAAAAAACCTTACCACACATGGCACATGACTCGCTAATGGACGGTCTCATTCCAACTCTCAACTAATGCAAGTATTCATGAAGCCACGAGATATTAAGCACAAAGCACAAAGTGAACACAAGTCAGGAAAGTGAGACATAAGTTTCAAGACATGCAATCCAAATACACAAGGCAACATGAACGACTTCAACACATAGGGAAGATTCTACACATGTCAAAGCTTAAATATACTACTAACAAACAAGTCAAAGGTGCCTAGGTTTATCTTTATTCCTCCATTTATTTTCTACATCCTACTCTAAAAATAAAAGAATTACTATCCGGTTCAAGCTACATCCTACGCGAACGCGGACCTCTACTTCCTCTAACTTACACGATCACAACTCATCCCATGCAATCGCGAAGCACAAACGCGTGACGCCCAATTGCCTCATTTTCCTCTTCGCGAACGCGGCCTAGCCCACGTGTTCGCGATGCACAGTCTTCCCTAAGTCACGCGATCACATATCCATGCACGCGAATGCGTAGAGTAAAGTACTCCACTACCCAATTAAGCCTACACGATCGCGGAACTTCTTACGCGATCGCGGAGAAGAAAACCAAACATGTGCACCAGAAAACTTCAGAAAAATACCAAGTCCAAAAACTGATCTGTTAACCATCCAAAACTTATCCGAGATCACCGGGACCTCAACCAAATACACCAACAAGTCCTAAAACATCATACGAACTTATTCAAAGCCTCATATCACATCAAACAACCCTAAAAATATAAATCATGCCCCAATTCAAGCCTAATAAAATTAAGAAATTTCAACTTCTATATTTAATGCCGAAACCTATCAATTCAAGTCCGATTGACCTCAAATTTTGAACACAAGTCATAAATGACATAGAGAACCTATTCAAATTTTCAAAATTGAATTCCGACCCCCGATATCAAAAAATCAACTCCCCGATCAAACTTCCAAGCTTAATTTCTATTTTAGCCATTTCAAACCTAATTTAACTACGGACTTTCAAATAATTTTTCGGACACGCTCCTAAGTCCAAAATTACCAAACTGAGCTATTGAAATTATCAAAATTCTATTCCGGGGTCGTTTATACATAAGTCAATATCCGATCAACCTTTTCAACTTAAGTTTTCAACCTTGAGACTAAGTGTATCAATTCATTCCAAAATCTCTCCGAACCCAAACCGACTACCCCGACAAGTTACATAACAGTTATAAAGTACAAAATGAGTAGTAAATGGGGGAATGAGGCTTCAACACTCAAAATGATCGTTCATGTCGTTACAGTTATGGGCTATCTCACATTCATATTGTATTCTTCAATTGAATTGACTAACTAATTCATCTACCTTATTGGTTGTTAGGGTTAATATTGCTCATAAGAATATATCGAGTTCTTACACGCCTATTCAAGCTAACCTAACGCCTATATGTTTATGGAATTAGAACTAACAAGAACGCATTTATAATTCATGTACATCAACCAAGCGAGACAATTAGGTATATGTCTATCGTAACTGCAAATCCGTTCCCCCATGTCCAGGTTCAAGAACTTGCTCTAGTCAATCCTATGTGCAATCTAGAATTTTCACTTTCGAGTTTAATTCTAGATTCGTTGATAGTATTCAATTGATGATCAGGCAATTAAATAATTAAGCGCGGGATTGAATAAACAAACCAATATGATAAATCAAGAAAGCAAAATTAATATCCGAAAAATAATATTCATGAAAGAACCACAACCCTAGAACGTGAAGTTTAGCTCCATATAGATATGGTAGCCAAACAACAAATCATACAAATAAACATAAAAATTACTAAGTTTGGTAGAAGAAAAGTTGAAACCCGGCCTCCATAACGGCTTTGTGCTCTCCCTTCGTCAAAAGTTACTCTAAAAAACGTTTTACTCTCCAAAATAGGTTTAGAACCCCTTTATACAAGTTGGAGCCGTGTAGAACCGAAATAACCTTTACCCATTTATACTTCTTTTTAATTGCTACCTAACTTCTGCTTCGTTTCTCATTCTTTTCCTTAACTTTTCAATTCTTTGCATTTGTTTCTTTTATAATGTCAACCTTTAATCATTATATATTTAATAATTAAATAATCATGAATCTATTATTGTAAGGTATAAAATACATATAAAATTTCTACTTTGATTCAAATTTTATCCTCAAAGTCAACAACAACAACAACAACCCAGTATAATCTTACTAGTGGGGTTTGGGGAGGGTAGTGTGTACGCAAACCTTACCCCTACCCCGGGGTAGAGAGACTGTTTTCGATAGACCCTCGACTCCCTCCCTCCAAGAACTCTCACCTTGCTCTTGGGGCGACTCGAACTCACAACCTCTTGGTTGGAAGGAGGGTGTTCACCACTAGAGTAACTCACTCTTGTCATCTCCAGAGTGCCTATGCATAAACTAAACCCAATTAAATACAAACATAATATAATTTAGCATTAAAATATCAAAATATAAGGTAAGTAATGCAAAAAATATAAAATTATACCCGGACATCAATAAGGAAAGGTTTTTTTGGAGGTAACCCCAGTCACCTACAATTTATAGCTTGTTTCTTTGGCCATGATGTCCAAAAGATACAGTAGAAACATAGGTCGCTCCCAATATTTACGTCAAATCAAATAACTTTGTTTTAGTCATTAAAGGTAACGTGAGAATATATATTTCTTAACTATGCTTAAGTGAAAAATAGGCGTACGAAAGAACATGTGCAGAGCTATAGTATTACATATTGATTTGGACTTTGGAGAAACCTAATAAATTTTGTTTAAATCTTATATTTTTATTTAAAAAATTCATTAAATATGTATAAATATATAATTGCGAACCCAATAACTAAAATAAACTACGAATTCAAACACAAGTTCAGAACCCTTAAAATGATTCTGCCTATGTAAAAACAAATATCTTGCATTCTTGGTTTGATGTACATATCAAACCAATGATAATGATAATTTTGTTACTTAAATAAGGCAATGGTATGATCTTCTTGTCCTTGATATGAAGCATCGCTTGGATGGAACATCCAAAACCTAAAGCTGACATTAAAATCAGAAATTAATAATATGATCAGTTTTGGCTATTCAAAAACAGATCATGAAAGTGTGTTTCCTTACAAAAGTCGAATCAAATAACAAAAGAATATTTGGTAAACGTTTTGACTTCTACTTCACATGTATATGTTTTTGATGACTCCCTATTTTGATTTTTTAATACTTAATTCTTATCTTAAATACACTTTAACTTTTGTGCATTAAATCAAGTTAAGTTGACCTATAATGGCATATATACTTAAGTTACAATTTGACTTGCTAAAAAGGAAAATATTCAAATTTGCTTCGGAACTATACAAAATTATCTAATTTTATCCTAAGTTAACAGTTTGGTCAGATGAGCCATTGCCATTAGCAAAAGAGTTCACCTTTGTCCTTATTCACCAATAGAGCCTTACTTGAGGGAAAAATGCTCAAATTTTCCCCTGAACTATTCGAAATTATCTAAAATTTGTCCTCCGTCAATAATTTGGGTCAGATGACCCCCTTCCATTAGCAATAGTTCGGGTCATATGAGCCCATGCCATTAGCAAAAAAGCTCACATGCCTTATTCACCGACGAAACATTAGTTATATGGTTTGCCCATGAACTATGCGAACATGTAATTTTTGCCAAATATATGAATTACTCCTAAAAATCTCAAAAAATAGCTTTTAATTATTTTATAAAATTTTAGAAATTTTTCTATATTTTACTTGATTTGTTTTGTGCGTATTTGTGTTTGGTGCATTTTAGTAGCATTTTAAATCTTAAAAAATAACAAAAATATTTTTATTGCATAATTAATTTCTTTTGTAAAATATTAAAATACCAAAAATACATTAGGCACTTTACATGCATTATTAGTTAAATAATTTAGTTAATTGTTAGAAAAATAGTTAAATGGGTTAATTTTGCAAAATAGTTTTAAATTAGGTGTTGTTAAGATAAGTGGTCAATTTTGAAAATAAAACAAAGAAAGGAAAGAGGGGTCTGCCGAATTGGGCCAGTTTTAGCGGCCCAATCCCCTCAGGTGGAGATCATTCCCTAGACAAAAAAAACCCTAGCCGCCCCTAACAGACCCTTCTCTCTCACGCTTTCTCACACGAAAAAAGAAGAAGAAGCTGAAAACTCAAAATTGCTGCAGTTCGAATTCAATATTTAGATCTGGAAAATAATTTTTTTTAAAAAGAGTTAAATATCTGAAAGCAGCAGAGTTTTTTTTTCTTTCAAAGCTGTAGCTATTTTCAGTTGATTCCAAAGGATTTCCTCTGTCATTTTCTGGGTTCTTCAAGCTGGATTCCATCTGCCTTTTTCTGCTATAGCAACTAGCTGAGCTCATCGTTGGGTTTTCAACCTTCATTTGGTCTTAATTTCTTCTCCTGTGCTGTTTCGAGGTAATTTATCTATTGCCTCATATATTTTTTCTAATGTGCTGAATCGTATGACTTATGATGAAATGATATCGTATGGTAATGAGTTTGAGATGTAATTGCCAGATCTATATTATTAGTGCTTTGTGTTTGTTAAATCAGAATCAAATGAGTTAGATCTTTGTTTCTCCAAGGAAAGTTCCTCGCAGAGCTTGAGAGATTGAAAACATTTAATTACCTCATATTTCCATCACAAAAATATTTATTCACCTGATAAGAAAAGGAAACAGAAAGAACCCGTCTTTTACTATTTCCATTTGGAGCAACAATTGCATCACGGATCGTAAAGACATCAAAAAACGTATAATGATGCAGAAGATCTAGACCAAGTTTTAGTTATATCAGTAGCAAAGGAAAGGAAGCAGGAACATCTGGGTTCGTTATTTTATTCAGATCATAGAGAAATTACAATCTTCAGCTGAACTCTTTTCAAGAAAAATTGTAGAATCAATTCAATGTTGAAGATATTGGTTATGTTTTAAATGGATGACGGGAAATGGGCAAGTAGGCAAGGAAATTTTTTCATACTTATACATTTAAAGAACCATTCATCACACTTGAAACATTTTAGGTCCGCCACTTCAGGAAAAATCAACCAAATTAATGATGTGCAGTGCTAGTTATGATTATTGATATTGATAGGGTGAGAGTGTTGGTTGTAGTTGAAAATGATGATGGTGGGAGTGGTGAAAATGATGGATGGTGGTAGTCGGTAATGATGGTGGCTATGATTGAACATGGTGGGTGGTATGGTGCTAGTTGATAATGGTAGGCGTTGACGGCAATTAATAATGAATATGTATGATAGCATCTTAATGAAATTAAGTAAATTTTATAGATCTTAATCATACAGACCTATTCAGATTCATTAAGTGATTGTGAAGTAAAAAAAATAAATACACTTAATTATTAAGATCTGAATAATTAAGATTCGGACTTTAAAAACAAACACACTTCTGAGATTTGAATGATTAAGATTCGTATCTCAATTAAGTGCAACCAAATGAGGCCCTAAAATAAAAGAAGAAAAAACTAAAAGTTTCATTTGTATTTGAGAGAATACACCTAAAACTAGAAGCAAATTAATTTATGGAAAAATAAAGTTTTTATATCGGGGATTTTTTTTCTTAAGAAAGAAAAATCAAACGAGTTTTTAAGAAGAAGAAAAGGGAAATACAGTACGAGGCATAATTGAATTTTTATAGCAGCTGAGAGGGTTTCCCGCTTGCCAATTCTTGCAACCTCTTTCTCCGGAAAATCCACTCGTAAGTTGAACCCTAATCCCTATTTTTGTGCTATTTTTAGTTGGAGAATCCGAATTTATGAATTGGGTTTCATTGCTTTTCTCTAAATTAGGATGTGATGACTACGTAATTTCTCCCACTAACATGAAGAATGGCTCTCAAGTCCTTTTTCATACTTCTCTGTGATATAAAAACATCAATATTTTAGCATATAAAAAAGTATTGTTTGAAACTATAGTAAAAAAAATCTTACTGTCTGAAAGCCTTATTTTTGGTAACAATATTTAGCTTTTCCAATAAAAGTAAGAAATCCCAAGCCAAGATGAATTCTTTAGCAATGTCTTTTAGCAAAAGGAACCCTTTTTTTTATGACGGTGGTGTCAGGTTCAGCATGCTCACACCTCGGCTATTCCCACCTCGGCTATTCCACTGATTACTTGTGGTCGAACAGGTACCGGATGACTCTGCCTACCAACGCTTAGGCAGATATAAAGAAATCGCCTACTTATTGTTTGCCCCTGCTGGGATTTGAACTCGAGACCTAAAATTCTCGTTTTTATGACAGTGGTGTCCGTTGCTCCCACTGGTTACCTGCTACCTCCCACCAGAATAGGTACTGGATAACTTCGCCTACTGGCTTAGGCATATGTGAAGAAATCACCTACTTATTGTTTGTCGCTCCTGGGATTTGAACCCGAGATCTCATGGTCAAAGAAAAATTAAAAAGAGGAGTCACGTGATAAATACTAGGAGCCGCTAAATGGAAAACATAATTGACGGATGTATTTTGTTTAACTATGGGAAGCTTAAAGGATGTTTCGATGTTAAGTGACGTATTTTAAGGATGTCATTAAAGTTAGAGTGAAACAATAGAGATGGTTTTATTGATAGAGAGCTTACTGCCTCGCGCGTTATAGTTGCGATTGTTATCATGGAAATAGAGTTTATTTTTTCTAGTCAAAGGGTCAACTCTTATGGATTCTCTATGAATTTGGAAGATTTTTGGATCTGAAAATATGGAAACAGGTTTCACAATTGCCTTATCTTGATCATTTTAGTTTGCGCAAACGGCTGTGGTTGAGCCATAAGTTTACTTTAAAAATATCTGCTGACACCATCTCCGTGTACGATGAATGAAGTGAAATTCATCGATCGATCCACATGTATAGCTTATGCAGTTCTTAGCCACACTTCATTGTAGTTGGACAAAATTGAGACACCCCTATCACCTCAGCCCTGGGTAGGAATAGTTTAATTATAATTCAGCAACTTTTTGGGGAGGAAGATGATGGGACATTGCATCCACACACCAAACAAGACAGTTTTTCTTTCGACGAACAAACAAGGCAGTCTAGTAAGCTAGACTTTGACCCCCTCCCCAAAAAAAAACCCAAAAGGAAAAAAAGAAGTTCCTTGTATGCTTTCTTAAAAAGAAAAATAACTTGGTATTGTTTAACAATGGATCCATATGAGCCATGTCTGATAGTCTTTCTTTTGCAAATCCATCAATTTTAGCCGCTTCACAAGTGTGTATTTTTGTTTGTCAAACTTGGTAAATTTTTTGGTGTATATCTTACTACAGATTAAGGAGGCATGTTTTATTTGAGTGAAATAGAACACACACTGAGATTGCCGCCTCATCTCCTAAGTCTTCCACTCAATGAATCAATCCGGGGAGAGCTTGAGGGTCTCTTTGTGGATAAGGTTTATTTTCTTCTCTATTGATTCTGCATTTCTGTTTGTTTTGGCATCATTACAAGAGACTAACTTTTGTACATGATGCAAGGTTATTGCAAATTTGGGCCTCTGCATATCTGTGTACGATATTCGCTCCATAGATGGCGGTTTTATCTATGCAGGAGAAGGTGCCTCAACGTATACGGTATTCTCGTTGTTACTGCAATTAATTATTCTTTGTTTAACTTATACGGATTGCGCAAACAGGTGTCATCGACCCTCATGAGAGATTCCATTTTCCATCTCCCTCTGATTATTCTTTTCCTGGAGCTCGTTGAGACTGTTTCCGGGTTAATATAAAACAATTTCAACTGATAAACTCTTTGGCATTATGAGCATCAGTGCTCCGTACTGGGAATTGGAAGTGCACTATTTCTTGCTATATCCGATGTCTCACCATTAGAAAAAAAAGCTCCTTATCCTTGTTTTTACCTACACAGAATGTTGACCTTTCTATTAGAGGAAAAATGACGAATCCTGGCTCGACAGCATAATAACCAAAGAGTCTTATGTGTCAACCATTTTGTCTACTATTGATTTTTCATTGAAGGTCAGAGTTAGAAATATAGATGATATCTACTAGTTGGGAATAAGTTTTAGACTTGTTAGAGAAACTCCTAATATAGTGTTGTTGTTATTATTATTATTACTATTATATATATATATATATATATATATAACACTTATCGCTTTTAATTTATTTGGTATTGATGATGATATGAGTTGAGCTTAAATGAAGATGGGAGGATTCATGTTGTCGCTGACCCCAAACAAAAAGTATCCAATAGTTTCATCCTGTAGAGCTAGAAAACTTTCTTTGTGCCAAACAAAAAGTATTCTCACCAACAGCCTTAAAATTGATAAAGGACAATTCCTCACCTTGATAAAAGACCAATTAGGTTTTCGAGTGTGTACTATCATTTGACGAAGCAGTTGTTGGATTCTACATAGAGCAATGCACTTCAAACTAATCAGCTTTCTATTATTTGTAATGTTTACTGTGATAGCATTTTCGTTAATAGAGAAAAATCATGGTCTTTTGCAGGTCAAGTTTAGACTGATAGTGTTTCGCCCATTTGTAGGAGAAGTAATAGCTGCTAAACTCAAAGAGTCCAATGCAGAGGGTTTACGCTGTAAGCTTGCAGACTGTTTACAGTTTATTTCTCACGCAATTTTCTTTTGCTGGAGTTTCTGTCATATATGTTCTGAGGCATATTTAGCCAAGTATATTATTAAATAAATGTTGTTTTTTCCTAATTGTTGCATTCATACTTTTTGACTAAGGAGATCTTTTCCTAAATAGTTCGGCAAGCTTGATAGATAAATGAGATTAAGTGGGCGTTTGGACATAAGAATTGTAAAATTCCAAAATAGGGGGAAAAAGTTTTTCAAGTGAAAATGTTATTTGAAATTTAGAGTTATGTTTGGACATAAATATAATTTTGGATTGTTTTTGAAGTTTTGTGAGTGATTTGAGTGAAACAACAATCCAGTATAATCCCACTAGTGGGGTCTGGGGAGGGTAGTATGTACGCAGACCTTACCCCTACTCTGGGGTAGAGAGGCTGTTTCTGATAGACCCTCGGCTCCCTCCCTCCAACAACTCCCCACCTTGCTCTTGGGGTGACTCGAACTCACAACCTCTTGGTTGGAAGTGGAGGGTGCTTACCACTAGAGCAACCCACTCTTGTCAATTTTCAAAATGCATTTTCAAGTGAAAATTAAAAATTGTATGAACAAACACTGATGTCCAAACGGGCACTAAGCTATCTACCCATATTACAAATACTTTTTACACTAGGCAATTTTAATGAAAGCAATTTGACTTATAAGAAAAGAGACATAGTAATGTCCTGAATAGTTGGCGTTATTAGTTTGGCAGAGGATAGCTAAGTTTTTTCATCATGAAAGGCATTCTCAGGCTATCATTTGCAAAAATCATGTGCTAATATATATTTTCCTTTTCATTAAGTTTCTTCTGTGATATATAAGGGGTGCATTTCAATGGATGAGAATAATCTCTCAGAAAAAGGCATCTTAATGTTCGTTCAATTTTACGTTTGGCAGTGTCACTTGGATTTTTCAATGACATTTATGTACCCCCGCCTCTAATGCCATCTCCATCACGTTCCGAGCTTGATCCCGAAAACAAGTAAGTTTTTTCTTGTCTCAACATCTAATTTTGTGGTGCGATCCCATCTACTGCTTGGTCTTTCTGAATCATACATCCTAAGTTTCTTTGCATATGGTTTTTTATTGTCCATTTCAGGAACCAAGTCAGATGGATATGGCAGTTTGAGGGACAAGATGAATATCCTATTGATGGCGTAGATGAGGTTTTTAGACCTAACATCTTTGCTATATTGCACCGGCTTGTCAAATGATGTACCTGGAAATTTTGACATTGATTATATAAACTGCAGATTAGGTTCCAAGTTCATAGTGTTAGTTATCCATCCGCACCTCTTGAGCAAGAAAAGGATTCAAAGCCATTTGCACCAATGGTCATAAAGGTACGTCAACTCTTAACTCTATTCCTTCAGTATATTATTTTTTCCGTTCCTACAGTTAAAATGATATAGTCCCATTGCTATTAGCTGGTTAAGTGGTTGTAATGCCCGAGATGCATTGGATTTCTAGTGCCTCTAAACTATGTTGCTCGTACTCTCCGAAACTATCGCCGAGTGCATGTCGGATCCTCCAAAAGTAGTGCATTTTTGGACGATCCGACATGGGTGCGGCAGCATTTTGGAGAGTCTGTGCAACATAGCATCTAAATATGTAAAGGCTTTATCTCATTGAGTGTGGAGAAATGTTATTAGGTTGTTGAAGCTTATCAAGCTTCCTAAAATATATGCTACTCGTAACGAATATATCGTCGAACCATGCTTTTAGCATGCTGTTCATTGTAGATGTGACTTATGTAAACTCCTGATCACACCCTCTCCACTAGTGTGGCAATTACCCTTAAAAATTGGACATTAACTCACTGGTCGATTATAGAGTTTTCGTCACATCATTTACTTCATTTTTTGCAGTTTGGTGACTTGAAGGCTGAACTTCTGATTGATTCACATGAGTGTAAATTATGTTACTCGTTATAAAGGAAAAATGCTCTTGCATAAATTGAAACTTCAGCATTTACTCGTGGAATTTGGATGAAGCAACGTTGTTTATCAGTCGCACTAAGCAGCTATATCTTTAAACCATATAAAAAATGGAACGCGGATCTTCAATAAGCATTAGATTGAAAAATTCTCCTATGTTATTCTACTTTCTATAGACTTAGTGAGGAAAAATAGTTTAGTTTATGCTTATTTTTATTAATTCTGGCATTTTTTCTTGTCTGTATATACCAGGGATCTCTTGATGCTGATGGTCTAGGACCTATTTCATGGTGGATATAGCAGAAATTACTGTAGAATCTTTGACAATAAACTATATAATTTTTTTTTTTGTTAAATAGAGAGAAAAACAGAAGGGAGCCTTCGAGCAACGGTAAAGTTGTCTTTGTGTAACCTATAGGTCACGGGTTCGAGTCAGCGTAGACTGTCTACATCACACTCCCTTGGGGTGCAACCTTTCCCCTGACCCGGTGTGACTGTAATTTTGACATCCTGAGAAAGAAGCAAAATGAGCTTCTCTTTGTGTTAGTTCAAATCTCTTAACAGTTTCTCAGTACACTCTTTTCAGAAAGGATGATTCTGCTAATTACGTGTTTCTATTTCTATTTGTGAAGTAATTAATCCATAAATATATGTATTGTTTTTACATATAGATAAATTCAACTTAAAATATTGTCGGTCACACTGTTTTTCTACTCACATAAGGTAAATGTTAGATCTGTATACACACTATCCTCCCCTGACCTCACTTGTGGGAATACATTAGGTATGTTATTGTTTCGATCACACTGTTTTCGTACATGTGGAAGTTAAGTTTTAGTACGAAAAGTTTTACTACAAATTTTATTTCCTTGTCATATATCAAAAGCTATCAACAGTTGAGAACTTTGGGAGAAGCTCCTTCACTAAATACTCAGTAATGTGGTAGTAAGTTGATTCAGTCGGATGAATACTGTCAAAGAAAATATATTGTGAAGTGTCTGTACACACTGGAGATTTTCTTGTACACAAGGGTCCTGCTTCTAATAATCCAGTTCCACAACAACCTTTTTTAATTTCTTCAAATCCTGTCATAGTTATGTAAAACAGAAAGCATTTTAGATTAATAAGAAGAATGAAAAGAAAAAAGAAGGAAAAAAGGGTGATAACTAATCTAAATGTTGGATGATATTCATGATAAATGCTCAAAAGTTAAGAATTATAAGAACTAAGGGTGTCCTTTGGTTGGGAATAAGTTATTCAGGAACTAATTATACTGGATTAGTTATTTCGGAATTACTATCACACCCTCTCATAGAGATAAAAATAACACTACAATCCGCGATTTTATCCCAACCAAACATAGGATAAACTCATTTCAAATTTAATCTCGAGATTAATTGTCCCTTATCCTTCGTACCAAAGGAGCCCTAGGTGAATGGTATGAAGGCAATCACGCCTTAACATAATTAAATTCCTGACAAAAAATATTAGATTATTTCTTTCTTTCTGTCTAAGTCTTGGCTGACGGAGTTATTCGATACCTGTGTTGACAGTGGAAGGTAGCATGTACCCCATAAATTTAGTCAAAGTGCATGCAAATTGGTCCTTAATTGAACCAAAAAAATGGGTATTGGCGTACCTATCATTACCATATAGGGGATGGACTGAGTTAGAAGCATATGCTTCCTTTACCGATAGCCGGTATCGAACAACCTGAAAGGCCTCTAAAAGGCCCAGGTAAATACTCCTCCATCCATAATCACCAAAGACTATGGTAGAGTGGTAAATACTCCTTCATCCTTAACCAAAGGTCTCAGGTTCGAGAGTGATTATGAAATCGTCTTTGCTAAGGAAGTCTTTTCCCTCAAAGTGAAAATTTCCAACGAGAATTCCAATTAGTTGAATTCTAAAGCATGTACCGAATATCGGAGGAGAAACAAAAAAAAAACATTGAAAGCTTACCATATTCACGTGGATTATTGATGAGGTCTAATATAGGAGTGTAGATGTCTGCATATAAGATTTTGCTTCCAGGAAGTTGTGCTTGTAAATTTGGCAACAATTTCTCAAGCTTTTGATTATAACACTGAGAATCTGAATTCTCTTTTTCAATGCAAGTTCTATGAAGTGGATATTTTGCTGTCATTTGAATTGGAAGACAACCAATTGGAGGCAGCCCACTCACTATAATTTTACGACATCCAAGTTCATAAAGTTCCTAGTAAAATAAGGTAGAATATTGCATGTCACATAACAATATATAGAAAGCATTTCTAAAAATTAAATTAATAATGAGGTAATTACAAGTTAATTTAACTATCCCCAAGAGCAAGGTGGAGAGTTTTTGGAGGGAGGGAGCCGAGGGTCTATCGGAAACAGCCTTTCTACCCCAAGGTAGGGGTAAGATCTGCGTACACACTACCCTCCCCAAACCCCACTAGTGAGATTATATTGGGTTGTTGTTGTTGTTAACTATTTGGTGTGTCCTATAAAATGAAACTATCAATCTCTATTAATTTAATGCATGTTTTATGACCTTTTTCTGGTCAGTGTGAATCGAATACCAAATTATTAAACAAAGAAAAATGTTGAAGTTAACTCAATCAAGAATTTTGAATTAACAAAAAAAACACAAATCCTTTTATTAACGACGGTAATCCGCTCGAGCCAAATTGGTCATATGATGACTATTTTACTTATTATTTTAGTATTAAGGTGCATATCCCGCAATGAAATGGAATAGAATAGAAAAAAGTAAAGGGGCAACATTATAGGGCCGTTTTTGGGGGATAGGCTTGTGAAGAAGCAAGCTTATCCCCGTCCGGACCAACAGCTGCTATGGTTTTCTCATCGCTTCTAACATTTCCTCGGTCTTCGACCCAAGCTGTACAAGGCAAAACTCATCGGTTTTGTTCCTCGGAATAATACGTGTTTTTAGTAGTGTAAAAAATTAATTAAAATAAAATGTACATTAAAGAGTTATTACTCTTGTTTAGAGAATAACCTTGACAAAAAATTGCAGCTTGTTTAGCAGAAAATCTTGGTACTCATTCATGCTAAATTCAACCCTTCTTGTTGGAATATCATAGAAATTAAAAATAAAATCATTACTCCCTGAACTAACAATAACCAAAGCACCTTTCACTATTTTTTCAGCTTCTTTTTCTCCAAAATACCCTTTCAATTTCTCCAAATACTCTTTAAAATATTCTAACTGTTTTCTCATTGAAATTACTCCAGAAATTGAACTTGTTAAATCATCATATCCTGATCCAGCTGATGCAAAACAAACTCCAGTTTTAAAATCATTAGCCATTAAATTTGGCTGTAAATATGGTGGCACACCATATTTTTTCAACTTTAGTAAAAAAGCTAATATATCTGGTACAAGTTTTCCATTTGAAAATCTACCTGTTGGAATATGGTTATAATAGTCTTTTCCATAGGGTGGATGATTGCCTTTGAATAAAGTGAATATATAGTTGTTATTTCCAGTATCAACTGTTGAATCACCAAAAACAAGAATTGATGTGAATTTTGGAATGGATTGGCTTGTAATTGTATTACACAAGAAAATGGCTAAGAAGAAGAAGAAGAAAGATTTTGGTGCCATGGCTTTAAAAGAATTGAACAAGAATTTGTAGTTTTAATATTCCCTCCAAGGGTTCATGGATTTTGATGGTTTAAAGACATGTGATTATGCACACAATTGTATTCTATATATATATATATAGCCATATATTTAAACTAATTTTTTTTTATTTTTAAAAGCAGTGTCGCTATGAACGCTTGGCTGCCACAAGCCAGTTATCCATGTGATAACTTTTCTGACACCTCTAGCTCGAATTCTGAAGGTCTAAAGGATCGTTTGGCCACGCGTTCATGGTTCGTATTCATATTGGAAATCAAAATCAAACAAGCTTTTACCCTTCTGTTCCACACGAGATTTCTGTTTTCGTTGAGCTCATCTTAAGACACCTACGTTATCTTTTAACAGATGTGTCGCCCTAGTCAAACTCCTCACCTGACAATGTCTTCCGCCCGGATCTGCCTGCAAGCAAGCCTTGGATCCAAAAAGAGGGGCAGTGCCCGCTTCCGATTCACGGAATAAGTTAAATAACATTAAAAGTCAAATACAGCAAAATCTCTCTATAATAACCTTGTTTTTTCAATATTTTGTGGCAGCTATAGTAAAATGCTATTATATAGAATATATATTATAACATAATATTAAAAATGGTTCCAAAGAAAACTTTATTGTTATATTGAAGTATTGTTATAGAGGAAAACTGTTATAGAGAGGTCTGACTGTATATATCTTTTTGTGTGGTGCAATATTGGAAAAAAGAAAGATATATGTAAAGAAAATTGTTTTCTAAAAGAAAGTAATAGTAGGAATTTTCTAAGGGAAGGAAGAGAATTTTGTGATGATTGAATGAAAATGATAGTATATATATTTTTCCTCTCTTTTAATTTTCTTATTCTTTATTTTAACAAACCAAACAAGAACACAACAGTTTCCTTGCTTATCTTCCTGACCTTTTCTAGTTATAAACAAATTAAATGATATATATCTGAATGCTTCTTTGATGGAGAAAAAGGTTGCTTTTCTTGATTATTACCTTGTAAGTTTTTCCTTTTTGATTACTTGAAATTGGCTCAGAATTAAGCTTCATACATGTGGCAGTGTTTTACATAATACAGTAATCTTAAAGGATTTTTTGGTAAGACTAGTTTCTCTTCAAATACCTACTGCTATCAAAAGTGAGAAAAACCTATAACTGCTTCCCTTGCTTTATGAGGAAAGATTTTTTTTTTTTTTTTTTTTTTTT